CATCCCTGCCTGCAGCCGAGCTGCTCACACACTCTCTCAGGACAAACAGCCCTGTCCCTCCTTACACACACGCGCAACATACACACAACAGTCTTCATGATCCTCGTTAGCACACAACCATATACATTTAAATAAGGATATGGAATTTCTGGGCTGGTGTTGATGACCAGTACCAGTACCAGTAGAGATAACTGACTACCTGGTAAATTGTAATCTGTAACCAAATCCAAAGGATTACTATAGTAATGTAATGTAATCTGAGTACTTTCTGTTGCGTTTGGATTACTTGTCTTTTTAAAGTCATAAAGTTAAATAAAGACAAGAGAAAAATAATTTTAACAAGATGATTTTTAACTCAACACAAGGTAAACAGGAAAACTGCTCTGTTTTATGAAGCTAAATTATATATTACAGGTGACTTAATTTTCTACGCTTTATACCAAAGTCAAAAGGTCAGTCCTCTTTTGAGACCCCTTATCAACAGTAAATATAAATAGAGTCCATTCTGAGAAGTCTGTCCATCATTTGTGTTCTGCTAAAAGGCCTGTTCTGGCTCAGAATGCTTCATATTAGTGCATTGTGCTTAGACTTTGCCTATCGTTGTTTGCAATGTAGTTTCTTTATGGTCGCTTATCAGCTCTCAGCAGTTTCAGCAGCCCACACAAGTCACTGTGCCGTACGAGTTTAAAATGGCATTAATTTCACACAAAACCTAAGTGGGTGCTGATTGTTTTACTTATAAATAATGATAAAATGGGTAATTCATCATCATTTGTAAATAAAAACTTTACCATTCGTGAGACTCTTTAACTTTTATCTTCCTGTTCCTCTTTTATTTTTCTTAGTTAGCGTCAGGCGTTATGTAAAACTAGGGTAAACGTCTGATTTATAAATATTTGAGAAAACGTTGCAGATCTTAGTTCTGCCATTAAAAATAAAATACTTATTCAAATTTTTATAGATTGGCCAAATAAGACGGCGAACTGCTACTTGTGAGGATGATTCTTCTTCTTCAGGTCCGCCTCAGCCCCTTCCCTAAATGAATAACTCTTGTGTGACATCCAAAACACAATTTTGAACGAAATATATGTTTGAATGTAATCCTGTGGTAATCCTATTTTTATAATGTGCTTATAATCTGATTACTGTCTTTTGTTCTATAACTGTAACAGAATACAGTTACCTTTTTTTGTATCCTGATTACATAACGCTGTTACATGTATTCTGTTTCTACCCAACCCCAGCATAGATAAAAACACACATTTACATTTATACACTTAGCAAACACTCTTACCACAAATGATTTACAACACTAAGCAAATATAACATTAGGTGTCTTGCCCAGTAACTTTCCTGCAGAAACTACAGTCTTCTTCAGGTATTTAGGTTACTCCAAAAAAGTAATCAATTACAAATTACTTACTGTAATGGGATTACCTTGCTCATTACTTCATAGAAAAGGTAATCTTTTTACAGACGTCCACAGGAAAATTCAGTAGAGCTTTCAATTTATTTAGAAATAAACAGCCAGTAAACATCATTTTAAAGGCCTATCACAATCCCTGACTTTAATCAAGACAGACAGTTATGTTGGTTAAATTTATGAACAGTAAATGCTGTTTGAAAAACCTAGAAATTAAAACCAGCAGAAACAGTTGAAAAACAGCTTTAAGAACAGAGTCTGGTCTGTATAGGTGAGGTTGCTGCTCTTTCTTCTTTATCATGGAGATCTTTATCCATATGCATCCGTAGCACACAAATGCAAATTACATACCAGAACAGGCACAGATAATCAGTATAGAGGAAATGTACATTTTAAACGCATTGCACAAATTATTAGTTATTTTAGAGACATATGAGTAACGCAAGTAACACGCTTTTAACTCAGTTACTGTAATGTGGTTTCAAGAGTTTAAACTGTTTCACTACATTGTTACAGAAAAAAGTAGTCACATCACTGTAACGTGTGACTTTGTACCACGTTACCCCCAGCCTGCCACTGTCGACTATGCATGCATCACTGTTATTAATCTAACCAACTTGCTTGACTTCCCCCTCCTTCACAGTGCCATGTGCTACTGAAGCGCAAGCAAGAAGAATTCGGATTTAGCAACAGCACATATGCTCACACACACAAACCACGTAGGACCTGTATTCCTGTACAGAGTGTCTGTTCAGCGTTTGGCAAGAAAGTCATCTATGAGTCTGAAATGTTCATAGCTGTAGATGATACATCTAGCTGTATGTGAGAGTTGTTGAATAATGCTGTGAGGGGAGTGTGAGCAGTCCACCTGCTCTCCGCAGCCTCTGTTTCATTCTGTGATCTGATTTGTAAGGGCTGATTTCAGCTACAGCTGCTTGTAAAGGCTAATAATGGGAATTTTATTGTACAGTCAGCTCTTTATCTAATATAATGCATTTAACTTTTTGTAGGATGCACATTGTTCAGCTTTTTGTCCAGAGCAATCATATTTTACTGAACGAGGTGGGTCTGTCTGGGAATATACTGTGAGCCGTTATTTACAAGGAAATAATGTCATTAATGACAAAAGCAATAGCTTAGCACAAACCAATTATAAATCATGACATCATTCTATGTACTTATTCAGCATTTTCCAGAATGCAGAAACTTTCTAATATATATTTTTTGTAAAAAAGAAAATAATTTAAATTAAATTGGCTAGCTTGACATCTGTATATGTCTCCACTACAAAATTTAGTGTCTTTACTGAGAATATTTCATATAATATTTTTTGCCAAAAACTGTGGAATATTTCAGCATTCTGCAGTTTGTGGCAAAACTCAAGAAATGTCTGCAGTTTTCATGTAGTTTTGTGCATAATTACTGTTGGAGTATCGAGCTGTGTTTTGTCAGATGTTGCCCAGAAGGCTGTGGCTCCACATTTACCTGCCAGAGCACACGAGTACGTCCTGCTCCCCTAATCAGGCTGCCAGAGACGGAGGCCGATGTTGACTCGCGTGGGTCTACCTGCTCTTAAAGATCAGAGAAGAGACATCATTATCACTCGACTCGCAGCATATGCTTAACTGGCTCACGGCCAGCCAGTCTTGTCATTAGTCAGACATATTAATCAGGAAGCTCCCTCTGAAGAGCAGCCTCTCTGTCCTATGCCTGCCTCTGCCACCCCAACCCAACTGCGGGGGAGGGGGGTGCATAAAGTGCTTCCTGAGCACAGCTTTGATCCAGCGGTGTGGAGTTTTGGGCTATTGCATTAAGGCTCCAGGCGGACAAAGTGTTTGGATGGAGTGACCGCTGACCCGAGCCGCTCACATAGTCGACAATTCAGCAGCTTTTATCAGTGAGGGATTTTTTGAGAAGAGACTAGCCGAGTTAAGCACGGCTCTGTGAAGTGCTGCCACCCTTACCAGCAGCTTTCTACCACTGTCCAGTCATTAACAATAATCACTCAGCTCTGCGTATGGTGGATCAGATTTGCTCTAATAACCAAATGATGGGCCTTGTCAGAATACAGGTTTTCAGTGTGATGTATAATGAGGAGAAACAGTTTTTTCAACTGTCTGCATCTTACTGTGAGACATTTGTCCCACAGTCTGTGAAGATGTAGCCTTGTGGCTAATGCGTAGTGTTTGTGCATTTATACACTTTGCATCCTCTTAAAGGAATGGTTTGGCAAAATGTCCACAATTTCCCACTTAACCCAGATGTAGGCAATCAGCCAAGACGTGTTTGGTGTCCAGATTTTGCGTTTTTAGTTTAGCACTGGATTTACAAGGCTAATGTTGCTAACGAACACAAGAAATTGATAGTCCCCCATATTTTTTCTGCATGTCCCCAAAACTTCTCTCCAACCATCCCCAAAACTTCTCTCAAAACGCATGTCTTCAATAAGGTCATGCAGATTCATGGATGTGTTTTAGGACACAGTATGACTTACTGTGAACTAGAAAATACACAAAACCTCCCTGTGAGGCTGAACACTGTAGGCAAGTATTTCAGACAACAGTGTTGTGACGAATTCAGCCTCCCTCGCAGAATCTGACTCTCTCTAGCATGCACCCATGTCATGTAGACACATGAATGCTATATTACATTAGAGATTTCTGTTGTTTCTGTTTTTAAATGTATATCTTCAGTTAAAAAAAATCAAGATTAAACAATTATCTATTAAAAGATCAACAGAAATCATGATTGTAAGTTGTAGTGTCCAGATGCTTACATCATGCATACAAAAGGGAGGCAGACTTTGGCACAATACGCATATTGTCTAAAATTGCTGCCCGCAGTGCCCAGCTACACGGTGAAGTTTTGTTCATGTTTGTTCACAGTACATCATATTGTGCCCTGAACCATATCAACAAGACCCGGATGTGGTTTGAACAAAATTTGGGTGATTATTGACTTCTAGTGTTTGTTAGTAACAATAGTCTTGTAGCTCCAGTTCTAAACTGAAGAAGCAAAATTTGGACAACAAGAATGTCTCTGACTGAATACATCTGGGGTAAGTGGACAATTGCGTTGGATTCCTAACCATTCCTTTAATTAGAAACACCTCACCTGCACTTCCTCACAATATCAGCTACACCTAACTTGTAGGTCCACTATATAAGTGGACAGTTACTGACTATAGCTCATCTGTTGTCAAGTACATATTTCAGCTACCATGTACTCCATTCATCTTTGGTGTAGTTTATGACCACAGGACTGCTGTTGACCAGATAATTTTGGGTCACAATGACACTGACATAGTAGTGGCATGGTAGTGTGTGTGGTGCTGGTACGAGTGTATCAGATACAGTGGTGTTGCTGGAGTTTTCACACATCAGTGTCACTGTTGTGTTCAGAATAAATCACCATCCAAAAATGACTCTGTGGAAGGTAGGTGAGAATAAAAGCAAAGTTAGAAGAATAGTTAAGTGGAAGAACATTCGGAGTGAAAGTGTAACGTAACAGAATGCTACAGTATGGAACAAATGTGACTGAACAGTGTGTGTGTGTGTGTGTGTGTGTGTCTCATCAGGTGCTGGAAGATAATGATTATGGCCGTGCAGTAGACTGGTGGGGTCTGGGAGTGGTGATGTATGAGATGATGTGTGGCAGGTTGCCCTTCTACAATCAGGACCATGAGAAGCTGTTTGAGCTAATCCTCATGGAGGACATCAAGTTCCCCAGAACGCTCTCAGCTGATGCCAAGTCTCTGCTGTCAGGACTGCTTATCAAAGACCCCAACAAGAGGTACCAGCTCAGCCTGCCTCAACACTGCTTCACCCACCTGCATTCAACCTCATTTATCCTCTTTTACACTGTGATATGAATGTGAACTGAACACTGCATGCAGTGATGAGGAACCGATTACTGTGGTATAGAATCTCTGTGGGAAGCTAAACGTGAAAGACCTGCCAACAATTTGATTTGACCCTGTAACATGTAACATCTCCAACATGAGAAGAGATTTACTGTGTATTCCAAACACTCTCTTCAGGCACAGACGTCTGTCTGTTATCCATTCTGTATGTTATACAGTACTGTGCAAAATCAGAGACCACTCTTCATTTATTTCCACTGAAAACAGCTATTAAGTGCAAGTTTTTATTTTCAGGAGACATTTCGGAGGAGACCTAAGATATTCCACTTACCTATGGAAAGAGAAATTCAAAGGAAAATAAGTTTAATAAAAAATAAAATAAATACACCAGGAGTTTCCAAAACTGGAGTTCAAAAAGTGATTAAAAGCTACAGAGAAAATGGAACTCCTAACAATCGTGCAAGACATAGTGGGCCTATGAATGCTATGGGTCTGAAAGGATGTGTAGCTGTCAACAAGGCTTTATTGAGAAATGGACAAAAAAGAAGAAATTTTAGAACAATGGACTGTCCACCCCAGAGTCCAGACCTCAGCATCATGTGTTTGAATGTGTTTGGGATTACTTGGATTGTGAAAAGCACAAAATGCAACCAACTTCTAAGACTTTGGAGGTGTGGAAAAATATCCTTAAAGATTTCCTTGAAAAACTGAAAACAAGTCTTCCAAAAAGAATGGAAGCTGTAATAAAGGCAAAGTGTAGATACACTGAAGACACACTAAAAAAATATTGTATGTAGTTGTTGAGGCTTCTGTATAATTTTCTGTTGAATATATGTGGACATTTTGACTAGAAATTAAATCTCTGACTTTTGCACAGTACTGCACATTTAAAATAAATGTATAGTGCAGTTATGCTACCTAATCTAAAAGCATTTTACACTGCCTGCTGTTATTCCTAAATATATTCTGTTTTCATAAAAAGCCAGCAGACGTCTTTCTCTAAGTCTGTTTTTTATCTCTTTTTTGTGATAGACTTGGCGGAGGTCCAGATGATGCTAAAGAAATAATGCGACACAGTTTCTTTGCTGCGATCGACTGGCAAGACCTTTATGACAAAAAGGTAATGTCGGCTGAGGTTTAGAGATATTAGCAAAGATATCTTTGCTGTCGTAACAAAACCTTGTGTCTCCAAAATGGAAATTTTACAGGAGAAGGAAAAAGCTTTACTGCACGATAGTACAGTAGTGTTTCTTCTTTCTTTTTCTTTATTATTGACCATTTTTATTGGTCCATTCGATGTGAAACACACAGAGTGAAGCTGCATTTTCAGATGGTGTGAAAAAGGAAATAAGTAGAGGTAAAGTTTTGATATGACCGCAAGGAATATGGTCCTGTCCATCACTCTCTTTCAAAGTAACTTGACAAAGTTAAAGGTGAGAGTTTTTGTAATGTTTTGTTAGTCATTCCTTATATTTTCATTACTTTCCCTACACAGCACTTTTATTTATCTCAGTTAATGGTGCTTTGTTAGACACACTGGATCTTTCTGTACCCCCCCACCCAAAAGAACAAAAAAAGCCCAAAAAACATATCGTCCCCCAAAGGCACAAAGAACACAATGACTGGCAGAGCAGGTGCTCTGTAAAACTCGAAGGTGTAAGATTGGGCCCTCCAGCTTGCCATACTGCACGCAGTGTTACAACTGCACAAAACAGGTGTTCTCTGTTTTTCATCGCTCTCCTGTTCTCGCGCTTCCTTCCTCAGCTGATACCTCCCTTCAAGCCTCAGGTGTCGTCAGAGACGGATACCAGATATTTTGACGAGGAGTTCACGGCACAGACGATTACAATAACCCCCCCTGAAAAATGTGAGTGCGCCGTTGACATTGTTTTCCTCTCACACAAACAAGCTCACCCTCCATTTTCTCCCTCTACATTGACACACACAGACCATCAGGACAGAAGTTCTACTTAGACTTGGAAAGAAATAAGTTGATGAGCTCACTGATGCGGCTGTTTTGGTGCTAGAAGATTAATGTGGGTGTTAGTTTCTCACACGCTTACAGCTATATGGCCATGTGATGGTATGTGGGTGGTGCTGTAGTCCTGCAGTCACATTCTACACCCGCATGTTGCAACATCACTGATCATACAGGCTACAATTTCCTCACTTGTAATACTGAGGGTTTCATTAAAAATGAAAAAATTAAGTTGAAACTTACTTAACTGAGATTTCATTCACATCCCAGCTTGATTAATTTCTCTGCAAAGAAGAGTTTAATTACTTGTTGTCTACAACAAGATATTACTTGAGAAAAAAATAATCACCTAAAAATATGTTGCTGCCACATTTATTAGTACTTAATTCTCTATATTATGCCTGTTGAGAAATGTGATATTTTCGTCTAAAGTTTCGTCTGAACTTCTCATTAAACTGATTATGGAACGCGTAGCATTTGGCTGTATGCTGTGTCTGTTTCATGAACATCTTGTTGAAGACGTTATCCAGCGCTCTCTCTCTCCTGTGTAGTTGATGAAGACGGAATGGACTGTATGGATAACGAGCGACGGCCGCACTTCCCTCAATTTTCTTACTCGGCCAGCGGGAGAGAGTGAAGCCCCCCCCACCACAGCCAGCACTGCCTCATCCTCATCACGCTTTACCACTGGAACGGACTACTACTATGTCTTCAGCTTCTACCCAGTCAGACTAGCCTAAACAAAGCTCCCCTCCTCTGCGGGGACTCCTTCATCGCTCTCTAGCCAGGCCGAGGACACCAGGGACACGGTTGAGTTTTAGGGTAATAGGAATTCTTTTGCACGTCGGGCTGGCCCGAGGTCCGGCCCGCTTAAACAATGTCCCGGGCAGCTTCAGCCCCTTGGGTTGGCTGCCGGGGAGGAAGAACTGTGCTGTTCGTTTACTTTTTGTTTTCTTCTGTGTGTGTTTGTTTTTGTTTTGTTTTTTTTTTGTTTATTTAGATGTTTAAATGCCTCCTTCAGTGGGAGCAAAAAGCACTGAAGCTGCGTCACACCTTTCCATTTCAGCATTTCAGTTAAGAGAACAAGCGTGGCTTGAGATTCACATGAGTGTTAGTATTTAACCGGCTGCATTGAATTTGCCTCTGATATTAAGTACAACAGAATGTCTCTGCTCTGCTGTTGTGTCAAGTCTAAAACTGCCATGAACGGTACTCTCAGGCTACACAGGTCACGTCTGTGCTCAACTCAGTAAACAGGATTAGCTTTATTCCAGCTCCTCGCTCACCCAGGGAAGGCCACTGATGCCACCCACTGCAGCTCTTTCTGTTTCTCTCAGTCTGGATTTCTCTGTTTCTTTAGCTCTCTCTCTCTCTTTCTCTCTCTCTCTCTCTCTCGGACACTTTGGCACAGTTTGATTCAGGATCTGTTGTAACATTTCACTGTGGCATTGGTGGGGCATTCTTCACGTTCTTAGCTGAAATAATCCTGTGAATCTGAGCCATGCAGTATCACATCTCTTGGTAGGTATAGAGGGTGCGTTCTGCTTTAGGTACGCTTACATATTCAGATAAGAGAAGCCTTGAGTTGATGACCTTCATCACTTTCTTCCATTTGCCTACATATGGAAGGCTTTCTATTCCACTGGTCATTCCTGTAGATGTCATTCCACTTGGTTAAATTATAGTGATTACTGGCGATAAACCTGGGGAGGTTTGACAGTGTTGCTTAGCAGTGACACTGGGCACTTGGTCAAGCTACACTTGCTCCACAGTTCGCAGCTAACTCCTAAGAGCACTCCTGAATTTGGTTTTAGGATCAGCAATCTGAAATAAAAGACAAACATACATTCATGACTTCAGTGCACTGGAGCATGTTCCTCTAAGGAGTCAGTAATGCTACCACTGTGGCTCAGTAAAGCCAGCATTAGCTGATGGAGCGCTGATGCCCTGTTATGTAGTTTTACAGTAGGGAATATGCTTAAATAAAGGTCTTCTATTTATTTTTTCTGTTCTTCGTTTGTCCTTGTTGTAAAGAGTGTTGCCAGGAGGTTCCTTATTGGACAAAAATGCACCTACACATGGCTTAAGAATGTAAATTGGGCAATGCAAAGGCCTTTGCTTTATGTTGTTTTCTTTTTTGATAAGGTTTTTGTGTCTTTTTTAAATGGGGGAAACAGTTTGTGAGGGTCCTATTCACACCATTGTAGCATTGCTTCTGCTTCTTTTCTCCATCGTCCTTTTCTGCATAGCGAGCTGTTCTGACATATAAAGGGCTGCACAACCTGGTCCTCTCGGCAGCAGACACAAAGCCACTGCTATGCTCTGGCAGTGGGGAAAGTGTGGCTTTCACTAGCGTATGTAAATACAAGAGCATGGCGCTCAGTAGCTCTGTCTAGTGAGACTTAACAATGTGTTTTCTTCTGGCAATTTCCCACGGCTGGCCAAGGCACTGCTCATTCTGGCCTTTTCCATTGCTTTCTCTAATGGGCAGTTCACTTAAAGCGAGCTGGACAGTATTATGTAAGGTGAAGAGTTGGATTTGAAGTCTTGTTAGAAGGTGTTCCATTTGTTTTACTGACCATGATAAAAGCCTACGCTTTTATGCTTTGTTTTGGTGTGTTTAGTCTTGTAGTAGCTGATCTCATGCTCAGATTCCTTTAGATTTCAAGTGGTCCAGTCTGGTCAGTGAGGTTGGATCATACATTGCCATTCATCCAGTCAGAGGCAGATCAATGAACAGCAAGTGCACTGGTGGGAAATGCCCCCATTAAATGTTTATTTGAATATTGAGCAGTTATGGTAACTACAACTACTGGTTTGGACCTGACTTTGAAGACACTCAGATGATGCTTGATTTAAAAATAAATGGGCCAGAGATCACAAAGAAAAGTGTGTTGCTAGTGCTCGAGTTAGAGTAACTAAATTTCAGTACAGGGGTCCACAGTGAACAGTGCTGGTCAGAGGTTTACCTGAAGTGTTCTGTGTCTGATTCCTTTAAATGTGGTACGTTACTTCAAGCCTAAAGCAATACTCCAGTGCTTTTCCACCTTCAATCTCTATCTGCTGTGAGGGTTTTTCAAACTAAATTAAGGGGAAAGTCATGTAGCTGATGCATGTTCCAACTTCATAGCCTGTCCACTGAAACCAAACACTGGTCTTTGTTTTATTCTTAACTTTAATTATACTATTTCAACATAAACAACAAACAACGAAGCATACTGGCTACGCCTCAAACTATTAGGAGTCTTTTGGCTCCTTCATGACGCATCTGTTGCATACAGTACTGTGCAAAAGACCACTCTTCATATATTTAATTTCCAGTCAAAATCATCATTAACTACGTGGTTAATTTTTCAGTGTCAGGGGAAAAACCAAAACAGAAAACGTACTTAAGAGAACACCTTAACAACTAAATATCAGAGTTTTCAGTATCTGTTGTGTCCATTCTTTGCCTTTCTTAGAGCTTCCATTCTTTTCAAGAGAAAGAAATCTGCAGGGATATTTTTCCACACCTCCAAAGTTCAGTCTTAGAAGTTGGTTGCATTTTCTGCTCCTCACGATCCAAATAATCCCAAACACATTCAGTGATGTTGTGTTCTAGGTGGACACCCCATTGTTGTTCTAAGAACACCAGCAGCTTCTCTGTTTGCTTTGCAAATGCTCTTTTTTTGTCTTTGTTTACAGCTACAGCTCTTTTCAGACTCAGTCTTGATGGACAGAAACGTGTAGATTTTTTCAGATCTGAGAAAGAGTGGAGCTTGGAGATTTTTTCCTCTCTCTGAGAAGAGACAAAGCTCAAAGATGAAAGCTTTAAGTATTCTTAATTTGATGGGGACAGTTTTGGTGGTCCACCAGGTCTTATATGGTTGTTAGGAGTCCCATTTTCTGTAACTTTTAATCATTGTATAAACTCCAGTTTTGGAAACTTTTTTTTCACCTATTTTTCTTTGATTTATGCAAGTGGATTATATCTTATTTTCTCAGAAATATCTCCTAAAAACAAATGCCTTGATGGCTGTTTTGACTGTAAATTAAATAAATAAAGGGTGGCCTCTGACTTTGAGTAGTACTGTAATTTCAATACAGCCTGTTCTGTAAAAGAACAGAAACACTTCTGACTTTTAGTGCATTTTGCAAGTGCATTTTGGTCAACGGTAGTTCTTTGTGCAGGGAACGTATCCATGGTAATCAAGTCTATGCTACAGCTGTGGCAGATAGAAATTACATTGAAGAACACTGGAGTATTCCTTTAATGGTATCTGGCAATAAAACTTACCCTTTTTAACTCCAGAGATGGCTGTTGTGGCTCCCGCTTATGGTAGTCATGTTGGTTTCCAAAGACTGAGTCTGTGTGTAGTAGATCTCATAGTGAAGTCTGAGATATCAGTTGAGTTTATATAGGGAGGATGTCAGTGTGCGTAGTTGTTAAGTTTAAATTGTGCTCAGTTTAGCTCTCCCAGATTGAATGAAGGACAGTGTTTTTTGACTTCCCATATAAAAATGCAATATATTGGAAAGTGTGACAAAATGTTGCGATATATTCAGTTTTCCTTTGGGATTAGAGGAGATATTGTGGGTTTCTGTGGGGGAATGAGTGGATGCTCTGTCAGAGTTGTGTGGTATGGTGATGTGAATGGTGTTGATGGTATTGTGTTTATGTGGAGAGGAAGAGTAAGTCGGTATGTTCTGAACGTGGTAGTTTCTCTGTACTGTAGAGTAGCAGATGTGGATGCAGGGTATACTGTATGTGTGGGGATTCTAGCAGCAGGACTGTTATAGCTGAATGATGAGTGGTAAAGAAACGTGTTTAGAAAAAGTGTTGCTTTCATGGTTTGAGAAAGAATGTCGGATAAGAGAGAATGCTTGAATTTGAGTCAAAGCAAAAAATGTACAGCACTGATTGTGAACGTAAGAGACGCCAGCTCACTGTTTTCTGTGACGTTAAACTCACACTGATGAGGAGCTGATACAACTGTGGTACTGCAATCACAAAGCTTCTGTCTTCCAACTCATACATTCCTGTTTTCTGTAGACTGAACTTTTATTTCCTTTGAAAAAAATCATTAAACTCTCTGGTGTGGGGTGAATGAGGAAGATCCATACCGTTGTTCATAGTTCTGCATTTACTTATTTAGCAGAGAGTAACTTCAGAATTCCTCAACATAGACTTTATTTTTCTTTATTTTGTCAAGGTGTTTTTTTATCCTGTTAGTTTTGTTTTGTTCAAATTCAAAAATGTCAAACATGATGATTTAAAGGGCCCATATTATGGAAAACCAAATTTCCCTTACTTTTTCAAAATTTTCAAAATGTACCAGTTCCAGTTCCTACAGTCCATATATGGAAACTAAGCTAAGCAAGTACCAGCTTATTGTAATATATCTACCCATACAGCCAACAACACTTTAGCCCCACCCCTTCATATTCAAGTTCTAGGGAGTGTTTCAGGTCTGAGTGCTTTTTGAAAGTGGCTCAGCACAGTGCAGCCAATGAGAACAGAGCTCAATTACATATATCAGTTAAAGGCACAGTAACAAAAACAGCCTGTTTCATTGTAACGGACAAAGAAAGGGAGGAAAATGATCATGAAAAATGAATTATGACCGGTACATAACATCGCATAAATGTTGTTGTGACTGGACTACTAGGGAAAATAAAATGCTAGAAAAGTAAATATGGGCCCTTTAAGGTTTTTTTTCTTTTTTTGGTGGGGGGGGTTGAATGTGGCTATTTTCCACTGTTTATTTGGCTCACTTGTGCTCTACCTGACTTTGTGATGCATTGCCTCATTGGGATTGACTCCTACTGTGACACTGTTCCTTCAAATGAATATGCACGTGTGGAGTCTGATGATTCAGACTCCTCCTGGAAGAAAAGAGAAGCAGAGACAGGAGTGACGCTATGTGTCGGTACCTTGCATGTGAAGGACATACCTGATAATACAGTACACTCTGAGAAAGGACCTTTGCCACTGCGGGCCAAAAAAAAAATCATTATACACTTTTTTAAAAATCCATAGTCGCAAAACTTTGAAATATGTATAGCTGCACTTTCATGCCCATTGCCCTTTTTCTATAGTTCAGATATGAAATGAGGTCCCTGCTTTAAAAAGAAAGAAAAAAAAGTACTTGAAAGCACACATTCCCTGCCCACGCTATGTTTCTTTTTGTAATAATGTAATTTTGCTTTGTAAAGTGTAATGGTGTGAATGTGGTGAGACGCTGCCAGGAGACACAAAAAAAAACAAAAAAACAAACAAAAAAAAGGGTTCGCTTCGGTGACATTCAGACAGGCCGACTTTTCCCCTCCTCCCTCCTTCTGAGCGCTTTCTACAGCTTTCCGGGAAAAGTTGGACTGGACCAATGACACCACCTCAACCGTTACTGTCAAAAACATACTCAACTCGCCGAATAAAGCAAACTAAAGAAGCCGTGCTCAAACATGGAAACCCAGTATAAAGGTTATAGCGCAAGCTTTGATTCTTGCGCCTCTGGCCCCAAACAGAAGGTTAAAGTAGGCTCCTCCCTCTCTGTGGGTGATGATGGAGGAGTGAAATAGTGTGAGGGAGAAAACCCCCCCCCCACACAGACACCTGGCAGACACCAGGCCATCTGAGAAAATGGGTTCCATTCTTACTTACTGCAGGGTCTATAACAAATATTTTACACCTCAACGTACTCTTTGCTGCTACTGTTTGTACTGTCTACAACAGACTTTCTCCTGGTAGTGTATTATGAACAAGCATGAACTGTAAAGTATTTATTTAAGAACAAAACCGACAAAACCTGGAAAAAAAAAGAATCAATAACTTGTAATTAATTTTACGTCCATGTAGCTTTAGAGTTTGTGACACTTCTTGACCTTGCTAGCTCTGTCATTAGATCCATGTTAAGATCTAGTCATGTGGTTAAGAATTTTATGCAGAAGGGACTTGACCCAAAAAAACAAAACAAAGGACTGTATTACTGGTTGTCATATTTAATGACTAAAAGAGAACGTTTATTTCCTTGAATCTGTGGCTCACAGGGATGTGAGAATGCTGATCTGCGAGAACTTGTTTTTGTACACTGAACATCCTTAGTATTTTTACATGTAAATGTATATGATAGGGATGCACATTATTTTCCTTCTTACAGACTGCTTAAATAAAGCACTACGTCAATCTGCTTTCTGGGTGTTTTGCTTGTTCAGACTGTTTTCTGACTGATTTAAACACCAATGCCATTCTGTTTTATTGCTACAGTCAAGGTAGAGGTAGACTACGTATATAAGAAGAATATATAAATAATTTATTGACAACTAGAAAGCATAACAAATGTTTACAAACCATAAAAATACAAATCCTACTAAATTAAGTATAAAAACCAGCACCATCAAAATGATCAGATCACAAGTCAATCTGCTGCAGTAAGAAACAGTTCATGGTGCTCATGGAAGTAATTTACCGAATCCATGTGCAGCATCCAGGGAGTGCAGAAGGTGTGATGTATGTGTGCGTTTGTGTTGGTGACGAGGAGCCAGTATTGCTGCTGTGCGCCCAGCATGAATGGTGATGTCACTCGGACCCCTGCAGCCATCACACGCACAAACTCGCACTAATTCACCCACTTTATACTTGTAGCAAAATGTTGATGATTTATCAGATCGAACGGGCAGCGACGGCAGACTGTTGGTGATCAGATGAACTCCAAAGGCGGTTGAGAGGGAGAGAGAGAGAGAGAGAGAGAGAGAGAGCCACCCTCACACTGTTGGAAGATCTTCTCTCCTCTCGGCTGGTAACTGAAGAAACAGGAAGAAATACAAACAGTTCCGTTCATACCCGTGTTTAGACTGTGACAGAATGAGCAGCTCATACTGCAAAGTGAAGGGAGTGTGCTTTTACTGCTACGCCTGCAAACGTTGCTCTGCTTTAAAATTTATCATTTAAAACATTTTCTTTTCTCATGCACATTAACAACTTTGCCAAATTAAGGCAGAACAATAGACACGTGTTTCAGATTTATGGATGTTACACCTGTACTGTTTTCTCTTTCACTGTAGTCATTAAAATGCCAAAACTCAACTGAAATGTGTTCACTTCAGCAAGATTTCAGTTCACATCATTTCACGTCTGTTTTTTCCAAAAGTTATCAGCATTAATGAAAACTTAGCTCCACCCACACTCTGCACGACCATGCTGTGTCATATATCACTAAAGCTTTTTTCCTGGAGAATCCAACAAGACTATACAAATATGCCTTTTAATCAACAGGAGCATTCAGCCAAATGAAGCACGTTATCTTATCTCTTGCTGGGTACTGAAGTTCTGAGGTCCTTTTTTTTTCTCAAAATCAGCTTTTCATTACATTCGGAATCAAAAATTCCAGCTTTTAGAGTCCCTGCATTCATTAAACCCTATTCACAAACCTATTCCGAAGGATATTACAGAAGGATTTCTAAATATATTGCTCACAGCTGGATTTATGCTGGATTATATACTGTAAAATGACCAGAAATATGTTCTATAATAACAGTGCACAGTGTTTTCTTGATTAAACAATAAACCAATGAGATTTGTGAAATCCTTTCTCTGCAGTGAGTCTTCATAAAGAAATAACCATTTTAATTCTAACATCATCCCAATGTTAGAGGAAATATGCAAAGCTTCCAATACAAAATACTTGATGTATGAATGTCAGTTATTAACCGGCAAACATTAATTGTGATAAGTATAAAAATGTGTTTAAAGAGTCATCTGTAGTGTCTCGCCTTAAAGGAATACTAAGCATTTGTCAGCCTGATCTCTCTGTTGAGAACTCTCTTTGATGTAAAACATGTATAATGGAAGCCAATAGGCAGGGGCTGAGACATCGTCCCCTTGTTCTCTATTATAAGAGTACTTAGAGTGAAGGTTGACTGTTTTTCCTTAGTACAGGAAACTTACTGCGCATGGTAACAGATGTGGCAGACAGAGATTAGGTTCAAATCTCTGGACTGTTCCTGCAACCACATGGATGTGTTTTATCTGTTGTTCTCACTACTAAACCACACAAAATGCTCCTTTCTGTTCTTCGCAGAAGCAGTTTAAACTCTTCCAAGGAGTCGTTCCACTGAGCATGTGGATGTTCTTAAAGAAAAGCTCGGACGGAGAGCTGGAGACGCAAACTCTCTCCTCCTCTCGTCTCCTAACAAAACAACAGCATGGCAGTATTAACGGAGCCGTGAGTGCGGGCGCTTTGTGGAGAGGCGCTCCGTTTGCCATAATCTCCTACGGATGTCAGCGTGCGGCTAGTCACTGTCTGTTGCTGACGCGCCTCTAGCAGCAATCTGGATGAGCATCTGTGGGCGCCTAGTCTTGCGTGATGTGCAGCCATGGCTACCAGCTGCTGTGCTGCTTGTGCTCTCTCTCTATCTCTCTCTCTCTTTCCCGCACCCTCTCTCTCTCTCTATTTCAGCTGACATGGAAGTAGTTTAAACCTGCTATGAGCACAGTTGGATTTAAACAACACCATTTGCGATGAAACTTGCATCGACTTCCATCATTTTCAGATTTCAACTGCTAAAAGCCTGGAACCATCCAGTGCCTTTCAAACTATAATAATGAAAACTGAGGAGAAATGTTTAGAATAAGAAGTATTCAGAATACTGTGATTTAATAATTTACATCTAAAGTGGTGAAGACCCCAACAGTGCTGGGTGGTATATCGTCTATACAGTTCAATAATTATATTTTTTTAATCGATAACTGAAAGACACATATGCATTAATATATATAATGCTAATTAATATATATGTTTTACGTTACTGTGTAAGGTTTACTATAAGCAGAACAGATGAAAATAGCCCATCTAAAGGTTTATAAGTCGTTCCTTCAGTATGATGCATCAGTGCTCAGGAAGCATGAGGCCATTTACTATAATAATGCAAACTTAATTACCGTCTGATATTGTGTTAATAAGATCTATTTGAAAAACACCATAATATAATATTGAGTTTCAGTAATACCGCCCAGCACTAGACTACCATATGACATTCAGCACCATGGAGAGTTCCTACAACAGGCCTGTGGGTGGGAAGTTATCAGTTTCTCTAAGCGCACCAACTGCCGCTAAACTGTTCCTGTAGATTTGATCATGGGTTCCTCAACTCCCACATGTCAGTGCAGTACAGAATGTGCTGTTGAGAGATATTCCACCAATAAAGACCATTTTTGGTCCATTATAAACTGTTAAAGAATACTTGCACTGAATATTAACAAGTATAATTGTTTAAAGTGTCTTTTGTCTCATTGTTTGGTTTGGTTGATATATGATGAATATATTTCTTTCTGTCAGCTTATTAAAAAGTAAAGTTATGTCCCACAACCTTTGTACTAAAACCTGTCTACTCTGTGGGGGAAAATGACTTTTCTTTTGGCCAGGGGTCTTACTTTTCTCTTGGCAATGTTTTTCAAAAGGGTCTTGAAGATTTCCTGTTTATAATTTGACTTAAAAGGGAATTACACAGATTTTATTTTTTTATTTCTGTATAATTCAATTGTTAAAATCTAAAAGAATCATTCTGGATGATTTAATGAGACACTGTGTATTGTAGAGAAACTTACTAACTTCTATTTCTTTCCATTCATTTCTTTTTATTTCAGTGCTGGTGACAAAAACCAAAAAACCAAGAGGTCAATGACCAGTGAATTTGAATGCCGTGTGTCTCTGCAATAAATACGTTAATTAAAAATTAAAAATGTGTTCTAGGCCAAATTCTTATCTCGGAACTCAAAACAACATCTCAGGCATCAGGCAGCATATTCCTAACCATTTCCAAGTAACAACTTTCTGTCAGGGAGCTTTAAGAGGCATTAAACTCTTCAGACGTCTGGTTCCTATCACCACCACTATGAACAATTCTAACTCTGTAAGTTTCTCTGGAATGCAGCATTTCACATCAAATCATTCTAAATGAGGATTGAATTACGGAGAAATTATAAAATATTGGTGGAATTCCCCTTCAATTGCTTTCATCTCCTTTTAGCAGGGTAAACTTGTTGTGGCACACATTGTTACATAAGTGTATGATTATTACTACTTCAGCAAATAATGCAAATGTTTTTACTATAAAAACAAGCTTTTATTTTTATTAATAATAATAATATTAATAATCATATCATCATCATGATCATTATTATTATTTAGCTTCACTGCTACCTGTAATGTACCACATTATACTTGCACTATTATGATTAACTGTAACATCAATGGTGTGGCCAAAGGATATTGGTCCACTGTGAGGGATAAAATACTATGTATTATATATTTCTACATTTTTTTTTACATATTTATTTTTAAAACTTATTTAACATACCTATGTTATAATATTCTGTGCATATATTATTTGGCAATTCATTAAAAAAAACTACTATATTGATGGAATGTCTCTTGAAGCAGGTCTCCAGCTCCGAAGCACCAAATGCAGTTTTAATAAAGCATCACTACACAGAGAGTATGATGTTGGCAGTGGAGGTCTGACCTGAATGCGGAGGTTCTGCATTTCTTCACTGAGGAGCTGCCTCTCCTGCATGAGCTGCTTCTGTCTGCTGAGCAGATCCAGCACCTGCTGAGCGCTGTACTGACAGTGTTGGTCCAGCTGCTGCAGTCTGCACAAACACACACACACACACACAGTTACACACAACACAGCAAACACTCAGAAACAATTGATTGAAGCCCTCAACCACAGCACCACCACACCGGACCACTCTTTAAACCCAGTGCTTTGTTAGCAGTTATCATGCTGCTGAATAATAATCCATGTTATACTGAATACTTTGCATGTTTCTTATTTTTGACTGTTTGTGTGAAAGTTTAGAGGAACTGATTTCTTGCCAGTAAAGCATGATCCTAATTCTGGATCTAATATTGCGTGTGTAGCCATGGGTGAGGTGGGCTGTTTCATGATAAGGACTAAGATCATTTTTACCTAGTCACTATAATTTCAGGGGTCTTAAACATGGAAAAAATGCAAAGACACAAATACTTTTAGTTTTAATGTTTATCACTGCAGAGCATAACAACATTTTTCTAATGATCTCTCTCTTTCAGAAGTATAGTGGTGTCCAAAAGTCTGAGACCAGTGAAAATGCATCTGTTTTGCATTTTTCTTTAATGTAATGCAGTTTTTTTCACTACAAATTATATTATCAGCATACCATCTTAAGTGGAAAGTAAGATCTTTTAAATTATAAAAGGCTCTTTTCATAGAAAACTAAATTTCTCACCATTTTGAAATAAAAGAGTTTGAGACAGTATGTAAACATTCTTAAAAAGTTCACTCTCCAGTCTATACAGTCCATATATGAAAACTAGGCCACATAACAATCCTGTACTGAATTCACTGTTTCTGCGACATCAAAAAAAACTGCCTAAAGCAGTTCAGCTCCATCCATTCACACTAAAATTATGAAGACTGTTTCAGCCTGGACTGCTTTTTGAATGAGGCACAAGACAGGGTAACCAATCAGAACAGAGCTCATTTACAGAGATTCAGAATTTCTTAGTATTTGCTATGTCCACCTTTTGCTTTAATGACAGCGAGCACTTGAGCTGGCATGGAATCCACAAGCAGATCAAATGATGAGTAGATCAAATCCACCTCAGACTCATCTAAACACATGCTTCAATTAGCTTTTTGTACAATTAGCCCTAAACATGGTTAATGTCACAAATTTGCTTACATTTAAATAATGACCTTGAAATAGTGCAGAATCTTGAATATTCATTTTACTTCTCATCACTTTTTTATGTAAATATTTTCTAAATCATTCTGTTGTTTATTTACAGGTTTAAATAAAAAAATCCCAGATTTTCAATGTGGTCTCAGACTTTTGGACCCCACTGTATGTGCTTTTGTATGAGATTCTGACTAGAATCGTAACATTAAACTCTTTTTCTGGAACTGTGTTGTGCTCATCTCACACATTTGGCTACTGCTGCAGATTCTTCACCAAGTCATTTAAAGTAAGAATCAATTGATTTGTGTCTCTTAAAGGCTTTTAAATGAATAAGACTTATTAAACCCTTAAAAGCCCTGCCTGATTACATCTTAGGGCTTATTATTCAGTAACTTACTGCTAAGTTATAGAAGAATGTAATAAAATTTTGGACCATTAGCAGGTCGTGACCATGAAAGTGGTTTAAAGAATTAAAATCAGTTGATGGCTAGTTAAAATCTATAAAAGACCCCTGTACAGCCCACCTTGATGTCTCACAGTCTGAGTCATGTTGGCCATCTAATGGACTAAAGGACCCTTTAAAACAATAGTCTGACCAAAAATCAAATTTACACACTTGCCCCCCTTAACAGTATCAGTCAAGACGTTCAGTGTCTGAAGTGCTTCTTTAGTGCTGAGCTGGAACTACAAGGCTAATGTAGCTAACAAGTAACAGTATCATGCTTAAGTCATTATGTGTATTAACAGTGCGTAATGTGTTAATACTATCTCCGACAGAATGTGAATACTAGGTGTTAAGACTATCTCAGATAGCCTTGCTTATGTGGTTTCACACTGTATAACATACTGTTATCTACAACAATGGATAAACGTTCAGACACAATTCTGGTTTCTAGATTGCCAATACTACATTTTTAGGTATGTGACAAGCTTTCATCCATATTATAGGTAACAGTATATCATCCAGTGTAAAAGTAAAGAAGCAAACTTCTTGGCTAGTCGACTGTAACTGGGATAACTGGAAATCTGTGCAGATTTGATTTTTGTCCAAACCATCGCTTTAAATGACACTGATGTGTCCAAACTTATGGACTCCTGCAGCTACTACTCTTTGGTCCCACTGTGGGCCCGCCCTCAGAGCCCACGTCCCAGCCTGTCCCAGATCCCTCTCCATAGCAGTGTGCCAAAGAGAGAGAGACAGAAAGAGAGGAGAAGAGGGGAGGCCTCTAGCTGTTGCTGAGGGGGGAAGACAGATGCCCTGCTCCTGCTGGCTGGGGCCACTGCCGTCTGTGCAGACCCTGTTCTCTCTCTCTCTCGCTCTCCCTCTCTCTCCGCTCCCCCACCCTTCCACTTATCCCTCGCTCGCTCCTGTGGGAACTGGAGCAGGCTGCTTAGGCCGGCTGCGGTGAGCGACTGCTCCAAGTTTGGGTCCCTCTTGCTCGACAATGATCTGCCTTTCACTGGAATTCTTCTCCCTCTTTCTTCTTCACCCCCCCCACCCCTTATCCCTGCTTTGTGCTGGAGCTGAAACAGGCTGCTTACTCTGGCTTCTGTGGACAACATAGGCCTCTCTCTCTCTCTCTCTCTCTCTCTCTCTCTCTCTCTCTCTCTCTCACTCACACTTTCTGACTCTCTTGCTCTCTCTCATTTCCTTTCCTATTGTGCTCTATCTCTCTCAAACCCCCTGCTATGAGCTGGACAGAGCTGTTAGCAGGGCTGTGGTGGGCAGCTCGTCCCAGGCTAAGGCCCTGCTGTGTGGGGGGCTGGCGCCACTGCTGCTGGCCACCTCCAGAGCCTGGCGCCGGGCAAACTCTGCCGTGCCTCAGCCTCTTCAACCCTCCACAACCAAACACTCACTCGTTCTCACTCACCACACCAATATTGTTCAAGTCAAATTCACCATCAATATTCATCATAGCAATGATTGTCATAGCTTAATTTATACAGCTGTATGCAAAAGTTTAAATAGCCCCAGTCAAATGGCATGCGTGATCAAACTGTTTAGTGAAAATAAGTTAAACACGTCCACAAACTTAAAAATGCATCTTCTGCTAATTTATGTGCACAATTTTTAAGTATTAATATATAGTTTCACATGAAAAATTAATGCATAACATATACATGTGTGTGTATATATATATATATATATATATATATATATATATATATATATATATAAACCTGGTATCTCCAAAATAGTAACTTTACAGGAGAAGGAAAAACACACACACACACATTTTTTTTCTTACAAATAAAAAAATTTGGTGTTTATGAATTATTCTTTCATCACTTTGCTGAACTGCATATATATCCATCTAAAACTTATATCGTACAGTATTCACTGCTGTTTAAAGAGTTTGGGTTCTCAAAACAGGCCAAAGATGTTAGAATGGTATTTTTGTTTACCAAGACAGGTGGCATGAATACAACTAAATGCAAGTTTTATGATAATGGCCATTATTTATTTATTTTAAAAATGCCACAGCCATGGTACGCCACCTGGTTTTCGAAAATAGAAAAGAATGATTCTTGACCCAAGAAGACAATGCATCCATCTTACTGTATATGGATAAAGCATTTCAGTGTGGAAATATAAATGTGTGCTCTAGTGTTTGGAATAACAGGTGGCTTCTCCACTGGTAATTCCATATATGTAAACTCTAGTCCTTCCAAAGTCATTGTCAGGAACTACAAAAAGAAGTTTTGAGTTTTGAGGATTTTTGAGGCTGCTATGTAGAAGTATCTTATATAAGCACACAGGACTAATATATGTGCTAAGTATTTTTACACATTTTGCATTACATGAGATTAAAAGTATTAGATTAATTTGACATTGCTGTCCACAGGGGCACAAGTCAACATAATGAAATCTTACTTGAAGTAATTTTGGACCATTTCTATGGTGCAAACATTGATACTGATCACGGATGTGTGTAGGTACTCGAGTACTCAGTTAGTTGTTTGAGGTGCCAGTATTCAAACACTGAAATCACTGTTCAGTTATTTGTTTAATTTTATCATGGAAAGATGGAGCAAATATACAGACAAACAATTCAGTAAAATGCTGATTTCATGTTTTAACAGGACTATAAAATTGTCATGGTCACTTTTTTTTTTATCAAGTTCTGCAGGTTTTCCATCACCCACCTCCCCATTCCTATTAGGATTACGTTGACAGGTATGCATCAATGCTGGTGGAAGTTTCTTATTTCTGAGCACACCTCTGTCAACTGTTTACTTAAACAACTGGGTTTATTTAAAAATTTGTTTCATAGCCATAGAATAAACAAATATTTTTTGCCTGATATTTACAGTCATTTTTCCTGGTTGCTCTGTTTCTCTCAATATTTGACTCATTGGCAGGTCCACACTGGGCCTCACTGCACACAGTAGTGAAACTCCTACTGCACATATGCAGTCAGGAATGGCAGCCAAAGGCAGAGCCTAAGGTCAAGTGTACTAACACAGTTAAGCAGGTTGTGTAATTCAGTAGCTAATTCCCTCACACATACAGGGAGCAGCACCTTTACATCTCCACCTCTGGAGGCAAACCAGCACATTAACCTATTACACAATCACACTGCCCTTAATCTGCTCCACCAAACGCTGCACAGCCCTCAATATGTGAGCCGGTCACAAAAAGCGCAGGTCAAACACCTCCGTATCTCGAACACACACACCACGCCTGCCCGGTGAAGCAGCGTACAAGCGTACACTGGACTCCAAAGAAAGATGTAGAAAAAAAGGAGGGCAAACTCCTCTAGCTCTGTCTGAAGCTGGACGAGCGACAGGGGTCTGATTAAATTAGAAGGCCGTCCAGCAGCTAAGGCAGCAAATCCAATAACCTCCCCCTATTTACTGGCACGCAACTTAATTAGGTTTTTAATACAGCTTAGCGCATGGGGCCGAGCTGAGCTGGACCTGCC